TCTTTGCAAACTGTGTTGAATATTTGCAGTGTCATTATTAAAACTTTTATAGTTTTGGATAATTAGTTATTGTTTCGATAAAACCATTCGTTTGGTTTAGATATCAATTTTAATTATCAATGCACAAAAAAGAAGGTAAGCTTTAATAATATGGATTAGTACAACCCGCGACAAAACTATAGCACACTTTGTATTTTTTTACGAAAATTATAAAATTGACCAATTTTTGTAAATTTCAATATTAATATATTTTCATAAAACTATTGTTACACAATGTATTATTACTTTAATAAATGTTTAAAATCATAAAATAAATGTACAAACACAGTATCTAATAGAGTTTTATTTTAATTAACAGAAAATTACGTTTGTAGGGGTCGATGGAGATTTCGAAAAATTATACAGGGGTCGATGATCAAAAAAGTTTGGCAACCCCTGAAGTAACTAAAGCAATGTATCAGAACACGGGTCGGCCAAGTGGTCCATACGATGTAGGAGGTCGATGAATTAATACCAATGCTATTTAAAAGCAAATGTTTTGATAGTAACTCAGTATAAATAATTTTCTTCTGCAGATTCGACAGAAAGCAGCAGAATCGAGTCATTCGCAGCAATACCTGGCAGCCGTCTAAAATGAAAATCAGTTTCAAACTTGTACTAAGTTAAGTTTGTGGCTATGTGAGAATATTATAGCTTGTCTGCGGTAAGAACTCCCCCCGCCACAAAGTTTAAGGCCGGCTGCTGCTATGGAAATAAGGATAGCGCATCTCAGGGAGCGTTAATTCTGGGGCTAACACAATAGATCGAAGAAAAAGATTCTCATTCTCTCACCTAAAAGACCGAGCCAAAATCTGTTCTAAACAATGACCCTACACGAAATTTACAGCTCTTTGCCATAGTCACCGCCACGAGTCCAGACGAATGACTAGGGGAGTTTTAACTTTAGACAAACTATACCAAAGCTGCGGTTGTTGATTTTTATGAGAAATTAAAACATTTAAGTCATATTACCGTGTGATACGGGATGCTTAAAAGCGTTTAATTTTCTGATGCGTTACTTTTTTATATGTTTTTCACTTGTTATATGCATTATATTTTAAACGTTATTTTATGATTTGCTTTTACGTAATCACTCTTTTTAAGCGTTGCTTTCACGCGTATACATTTCTTATAATTTTACACGCTTCTTTTTTTATTTGCTATTATTTAATTCAACATTTTTTACGTAATTTAAATTTTCCTTTTTTTAATGAGTTACTTTTACCTTTCGTTATGCATAACTAATACATAGTGCATGTTTCTCGTTACTTTAGTCGTTTACTTTTACATTTCGCATGCGTTATTTCCTAGTTATATGCGTTATGTTTTGCGCGTTAGTATTTTCTTTGCGGTACTTTTCTTATGCGATACTTTTGCATTTATTATACGCGAATTTTTGTGTTATAACATTTTACGTTTTTATATTTTATGCATTTCCTTGTGATGTTTTTAAGCCTTGCTTTTCCTTAACAGTTACTTTAACGCCTTCTTATTTTCTTATGCTTTACTTTTCCGTGTTATTATATTTTATGCGTTAATTTTTCTTAAGCGGTATTTTTTAAGCTATACTGTTACATTTTGTAGGCACTATTTTTACGAGCTACACTTGTTAATTTATGCGTTATATTTTGTTTTTCTTTATGCGTTACTTATGCGCTTTACCTCTCTTTATGCATCGACTTATACACATTTTATTTTATATTTTAAGATTTACTTTTCTTTGTACGTCACTTTTTCGCGTTTACTCTTTTCAGCGTTACTTTTTGAGTGTTTATTTTTCTAACGCATACTTTTACTTGTTACGTTTCTTTAAGCGTTGCTTTTAAGAGTTTACTATTCACATGCATTATTTTATATTTTTTTTTATACGTTACTCCTGCTAGTTTTTTTTTAATTCGTTACTTAAACACTTTATTGCAACTCCTTACTTCTCTTTTACTAGATTACGTACTGCATGTATTACTTTTGCTCGTTAATCTTACTTTTCCTATTCGTTACTTATACAGGTTTACTTTTTCATACGTTATTTTTAAGCATTTAATTTTATTATACACAATTTTAACGCGTCTTCTTATCTTGAACGATGCTTTTCATGTTATGCGTTATAAAATTTTTCACCCTTACTCTTCTTTTCCCGCTACTTTCTTGAAACATTACATTTAGACGTCTAGTTTTCTTGAGGATTATTCTTAATTCAACACGTTATTATATTGGGTTGTTCGGAAAGCAATTTCGTTTTTCTTTGGGAAAATGAAAGACAATTTTCGTATAATGAATAAATATATTATTAAATTATATATTGGCTATTCTGGTTCAACACCTTTAGCCATCTTTCTGGTAGTAGCATGATTCCACGCTCATAAAATTTTTGGTCTTTGCTGGCAAAAATCTTATCCAGGTGATTTTCGACCTCTTCATTAGAAGTAAAGGTTTCACAGTCCAAAAACTTTTGAAGTGACCGGAACAAATTATAATCCAAAGGCGCCATATCTGGAGAAAATGGTGGGTGGGGCGGCGTATCCCACTCAAGATGTAGAAGCTTTTGGCGAGTGACCAAACTTGTAGTGTTCCACCAAGATAATGCGAGACATCATACACCTTTTCTATTGATTAATTCTGGCCTTTTCTGTTGAAGTGCATCATTCAGTTTGTCCAGCTTGCGACAGTAGACTTCCGAATTAATTGTTGTGTTATCCGCTAAAAGCTCAAATAAAAAATCCTTTAAAGTCCCACCAAACAGACAGCATCACTTTTTTTTATGGATATTGGCTTTCGAAATGCTTTAAGCCGGTTCATCTTCTTTGCTCAATGATCTCTTGCGTTTGACATTGTTATAAACAACC